CTAGGGAAATGCAAATGGTTATGTTCAGTGAAATGCATTGATTATTGCCCTGTAGACGAGGGCTGAATCTTTTTATACATTTGTTTCAACACTCCTGGTGGCTTATATGTAGGTGCGTTGTTTCAATTTTTCTTTAAACTAGTTGTAACATCATACTGATGTCCTCATTAAGCTATGAGTTAAAATGAAATCTTTCACATGGGTTTATTTGTGTTTGTGAGGATCATGAGTTTATCTTTTGACACAGTGAGTCCAGTGCACAGCAGCTAACGTGAGGCCTCTGCCAATAGGACATGAATCTGCCCTCCACATGGGGTTCCTTCCAGGCTCTTCCCAGAAGCCCAGTTAAGGCACATGACACATCTTGCTCCCTTAGACCAAGAAAAGGATGCCATGCCAGTCAAGTAAACATGAGTAAACTTTCTTTCTTTCTTTAAAAGACAAAAAATGGAATTTTATCCCCTTAAGGGACCACCTTGTGCACCCCCTTGGAGATCACTCCTTCAGGGCAGGCAAATCAGGAACCTCTTGCACCACCCTTTTCTCTAAGAATCTACAGGTTACATGTTTTTGGAGGATCCATTATTAGCTTCCATGCAAGTGTCTGGCCCTTGTTCTATCCTTAGTCTTCAAGATCATATGGCCTGTATGTAGGTCAGGACACTTATGAAAAATTGAGAGATAAAAGACACTAAAGTATGAAGGTAAGTAAGAATCTGCTGCAAGAGTTTGGATAATTAGCTATTCCTGTTATCAGGAGGCTCGGGGAAAGGTCAATAAAGCCTTCAGTCTTGGGTCGCAGTTGTTTTATGTTGTGGTTTGGCATCCATGCCATAATTTATAAACACACACATGCATGCATGACCATTATGACCTGTAATGCCATCAAATGTAGCCTAATGCATTTCTATATTTAGAGCATCCACACCCTGCAGACATCTCTGTGTCTTACAAAACCAAACAACGACATAACTTAAGGAAAATTCAGTCACAAAAGAATGGAAAGGGAAGAAAACGTAATCCACTACTACTCATAGTAGGTAGTAAATGCATATTGTTTAAAAGCTAGAGTATCAGGTATAGTGTTTATGGGTGGTAATTTGGCAATGTCTATCAATATTTAAAATACACATATCATTTGACTTAGAAATTTCACTTCTAAGAATTCTTGCTAAAGGTATACTTGGCACATGAATGAAATAATGTATCTATAAGGATGTCATTGCATTCCTTTTTTTCTTCTTCTTCTTCTTTAACTAGCAGATGTTTGGAAACAACCTAAATATTCACTGACATGGGGATGGTTAAAAATATTATGAGATGCTCTGCAGCTGTGAAAGAGTCATAGTAATAAGCACCTCAATATGTTCTGATGTAGAGCAATATGCAGGGTATGTCTTATAGTAAAATAAAAAAACCCAGTTGCAAAATAGTGAATAGATTCTGGCACATTCCTCACTGAATTGTGCATGTCTAATTCAATTTCACTAAGGTGGCCCAGGGCTGCTTTCCTCAGGGTCCTCTGAGGTCCTTGCTCAGAAAACCTATTCCCTATCCATCCACAACCTCTCACCCCACCCCCTTAATATATTGTGGTGCATATAAAATATTTGAGAAGCAATGAATAAAGGAATGAATCCACATTTGCCATCATCCCCACGTTGTTGCTTCTCCCACACCAATCTGAAATGCTTCACTGTTCACTATACCCTCTGTGCTTTCTCGCCACTGACAATTACTGCTGTGCAAAGGCAGGTGTGATAACCATGGGGCGAGATATAAATGTCTCAGTTCCATTTCTGGCTCCTTCTGTGACACAGAAATGTGTGTGTCCCCCATGACATTTCCTTTCCTGTGCATTGATTTGTGCATCCCACCCAATGGGTGAAATGAGACCCCATGGAGAAAGCATAGAGCCTACAGAGACATTTTCATAAAGATTATGGGTTTAGAGTAACAGGCTAAGATTTTTCAAAGGCCCTCTCATGATCCAGGAGCGCCCTTGAATCACTGCTTACCAGTTTGCAGTCCTGAGTAATCCAAATGTCAGCTTGATTTAGCTGTCTTGATCGTCTGTTGTAGAACATGACTGATTTTTCTCTGTATTGAAAACTCTCGGCATATTTACCCAAGTACAGCCAGTATCTGCGCGAGGCACTAATTGTAGGTGAGATACCGCGCTGGTATTGTGGGAATGCCGAGGTAAGTGAGAAAGGCCTTCATGTAATTCACAAAAGCCTCCTGAGGGGAGAAGACCATCGCCTAAGTAAAGGCAGCGTCTGCCAGAGCAGGTAAGAGCTGTAAGGGGCGGCAGCGTTGTCTGCTGAAGCTGAGGGAAGAGGGCTAGATCAGCCCCATGGGGCGCTCAGGTGATGGCGGACTGCGTGAGCTTTGCAGTCAGATGAGGTTTCAGGAGAGGAGCTAGTTTGCGGCGGCAGGACCCGCACCGCAGACCACTAGGTCAGGACGTCATGAAGCCTGTTCAGGATCTAGTGTAGGTCTTGCACGATGTAATAGAGATTGTAGAACAATGTGACAGGTGATGAGGGAATGCACAGGAAAGGAGTGGGGGGCGAAGGGAAAAGGATGGGCAGGATTTCGGGACTAGAGCTCAGCTGACACGGTGAGAAGTGTTTGAGTATGTCTAGAACACGTGACACTCAGATGAAAGACTCTTTCAGCAAATGCTTCCAGTGGCTTAACTTGTGCTTTCTCCCACACAGTCAGTAAGTACCCTTAAGCCCCAAAGGGAGGGGAAAATACACCTCTCATAATCGATTGGCATTCAATACATGTTTGCAACTAAACCATTAGGTAAGTAGAAACTAAAAACCTGAGTCAGAGAGAGAACTGTGGCTAGTGCCCTGTACATGGGGGACCATCACCACCGGTCCTCACGTTTCTCCCAACACTGGACAGAGGCAGGACTATGGCAAAGCCCAATTTAAGGGACAGCTTCAAGCTTAATATATGTCATTTTCAAATACAAGACCACAGAAGAAAGGTCTATATTTGAGGGAGAATGTGCTGAGCATCCTAGGGTTTTCTGTCCTACTTCGCTGATGCCACCTTGAGAGTCTGACACTGACTGATGGAGCCAGAGGACCAGCTCTCTTCTTCCTCCCATCCTGGTGAGAAAGAAGTGGATGGAAGACCACTTACTAGAGTAGTTTTTCCTCAGTGTCATTCACTTAACTAGAGCTTATGATTTACAAAAATTCTATTATTATAGATATGCATTTACTTTCACAGCCTGTGCTTTGCATGAGGAAAAGAGGGAGGGGCTGTTTTCCTTTGTGTTGACCCTGAAGAAACTGAGACCTATAGGGACTGTGTGGATTTTCTAAGATCTGGTTGCTAAGTAGAAAAGGAGAGATTCATCTCAGGTTTTATTTACCCAGTGATCAAGTCTCAGTATCTTCTGTGTGGCAGCTCTTGCTGGATGCTGCATAAGCCACAGGTCCTAGGCCAAGGCCTGCAGAGCACAGAGGGAAATTCTAGTTCACAGAGCAGGAGCGCAGAGCTAAAAAGCAGAAAAATGCTGCATATGAGAAACCAAAATAAAGTCTTTTTAGACACCGAGGTGAGCATAAAAGAAAGAAAGAAAGATTCTCACATGCCAGAAATGAAAAGGGAGCAAGGCCAGGAAGCCTGAAGTCAGACACTGTGCTGGCCAAGGAGTGGGGTCTGGATCCTGGAGGCTGGGGAGGGGCCGAGCGCCTGCCAGGGTGGGAGATGGGGTGGGGCCTATAGAAAGCTGAGAGTGGAGAGGAGATGCCCATGAGAGCTGGGAATCCAAAAAGGCTGTCCTTCCATGACGAGAAACTCCAAACGTGGAAGCAGTAAAGAGTCTGCTGCTCACCTGTGACTCTGAGTGGGAAGGGAAAAGACTAAGCTGTAAGGTGTCAGGACATGGGACATGCCACGTACAGGGTAGTGTGGGGTTTGAGTGCATGTGTGTACAGCAGCTGGGGATCTCCAAAAATGAGTGTGAAGCTGGACCTAATTGGGTGCTGTGCTGTAGTGCCTGAATGTCAGCTCTGGCATACTGAGGCCTCCGTTTCAGACACTCTCTTGAATTAACACACTGTGGGCTACACAACTAGATAGGGAGCCAGTTCACTGGCCCATGAAGGCCCCCTTTAAGAAAGCCCTGGGTGACCTTATTACCGAATGGTTGAGTGACCCTACTTTCCCTTCCTGCACCCTCTTCCCACAGCCATGTTTTAAATTTATCAAGAAGGCGCAAACCCAGGAAACCCTTGCTGCCCCACCCTTGACCCCATTAAGTCAGAACCCCAGGCCTGGTTCAATCTCTCTCTCTCTCTAGCTGTGACTTCACTTTGGGGCCCCAGGCATGCCATGTGTCCTCTAAGACCTGACCGCAAAAAAGTCAGCCTTGTCTTTTCAAAGTTCCCTGATGGCTTTTTACTGAGGTGCATCTTGTAATCACAAGAAGCTTGAGGGCAGGTCCAGCCTCAAACTGGCTCTAGTCAGGGCGCAGGAGAGAGTCCCGGGCAGTCCTAGCCCACAGCATCCCTACCAATAGGCTGGGACAGCATGAAGCAGGTGCCCTTTGAAGACAAAGCCACTTTGCCCAGGCCTCTCCCCAGCCCAGCGTGCCCAGAGTTCCCACAGACACGTAAACCCTCAGAAGGTGTGCTTTGGAGCAAGAGTTATGAACTAAACAAGAAAACTATCAACTGTGAGAAAGAATTAGAGAACACAACAAACATGAACATAGCACTTGAGATTTTGAGATAATCAAGTTGTCTGAAAGAAACCAAAAATAAGCCTTTTTTAATGTATTAAAGAGATGCAAGAATGGCTAGAAACTCATAATAGCTTCTGGGTGGAAAGACTAAAACAAACAAGACAAAGTTCAGTAAATGAACTTCCAGAAACAAGAACCCAGTAATTGAGGTAAACAAAGATAACGTACCAACAAACTGGGTTTCCCCAAAGAAAGAATAAATAGCTGTGATTGAAGCAAGGAAACTATGTGGAGATAGAAACTATGAACCAAAGTTTAAGAAATATGGGGAATAAGAAGATCCGTCTTCTTATACATCCAACATATGCATGATGCATATCTAACAGGAGTCTAAAAGTAAGTAACACAGAGAGGGTGGGAAGGCCAGATCACAGTCTGAGAACTTTGTATTCGTAATACATCTGCAGTTGGCATTGTGTACTGAGGCCCAAGGAGGAGGAAGAAAACTGGTGCACGTGAAGAGCCGTGGCAGTGGAGCCACGGAGCATGGCAGACCAGCGGGTGTGTGGAGGGGACAGCCCGCAGAGGACTGGCTGCTGAGGAGGTCCCTCAGGGAGAGAGAGCAGCTTGAGGGGAGTCAGGAACAGGCCTGGTGAGCTGGTCACCTCAGAGCCCAGTGGGAGATATGGGGGGGCAAGCAGAGCAGGGCAACAGGGCCCCGGAGCAGGGACCACCCTGATGGGCTCTGGAGGGAAATCAGGCAGTGGTGTGGGTGGCAGGAAGTGTGGAGGGTGGCCATGCTGGGAGCAGGCAGGACACAGGAGAATGCTGGGCATCAATCCTTACAGGCCCAGGAGGGTCATAAGGATGTGGTAAAATATGCATTTGAGAAGACACCCTGACTCTGGTTTCCTGTCAAACGCCATACAAGCTTTCCAATGTTAATAGCCATGTGGGTTTTATAATATATTGTCTTGTCTATTCACTATTTACTATTTCACTACCTCCCTTTTTGAGAGCCAACACCAAATATGACTGACTCACAATCATTAATTCACCATTATGAATAATCTTGGAAGGAAATTGGTTTGGGACCAATGGCAAGATACTATGTTCTTTGCAAGGCAATGCTGGGTGAATGAATGGAATGCTTAAACACTATTTATCTGCTGTATAGAGAGGATTTTTAAAAGGAAGTAAACACTTCCTATAAATATGGGGAGGCCAGAGCATACTTGTAAGCAATGAGTATTTGTGGTGAAGAGCTGCGGGTAGATGGTGTTTATAATCATAACAGTTTCTCCACATAATAAAAGGAATGCTACTAGAATAGATGAGAAGATCCAGCTGAAAGCTCTAGGCCCCTGTATGCTGGTCCTGTCCCTCATCCCCGGTCCTCTTGATGGGTGGGTGGTACGGTGGGCCCAGGAATGGGAGGAAATAACAGTGTTCTACCTCTAGGTGAGCTGCAGCATCAAGGGGAGACATCATTCCTGAATGCCCACGTGTGCTAGAGATTCTCCACACACGAATCCTGAGTGAGCCTTGCGCAAATGGACTCATGAGTGTGTTAAAGGTGAAAGGGGGACTCAGCACACCCTGGCTGGCATTACAGCCTGTGAACTGGGAGGGATGTCTCGAAGGCAGGCCTGTGGGTTCCTGCTGTAACCCCACCTCCTGGGGACCTCTTGCAGGCCCCCCACTTCTTCATGAAGGGTCTCACGGAGCCTCTAGAGGAGCTCAGGACTGTAGCCAGCCCTCCACCCTCTTGCTGTGTGGTCTTCAAAATCTCTTGCTGCTTGGCCTCTGCATCTGTGAAATGGGGATCAAATTTCATCCCTGCCTGTCTGTTTACTCAGTGAGGCCTGGATGAATAATGATTAATGATCACAGGAGAAGCATGTTGTGCCCCGAGGCAGACTCATTTATTATGGAACAGAGTCTATACTTCTTTCCACCCTGACAAGATTAAACAACAACAAGAAGTAAAATAAGCTAAGGTAAAAATTTTCCAGAATTTTATTGCATAGCATTTAATAATTACAAGCTAACCTAAGCCACAACCCTTTAATTTAGTTAATAATGTGAGGTTACTCCCTGGGAAAACTGATTTGTTTTTGGCACTGGTATAATTTTCGAGAGTTTAACCAGACTTAGTTCTTTATTCCCTAAATGACATGGATTATGCACAAAGTGACATTTCAAATTACCACAGTTTCCAAACACATTTAGTGTTTGGAGTTTTTGTCCTTTCTCTAGGGAAAGACTGGGGAATAGCTTAAATAATTCTAAACCAACTCTCAGCTTGTTATGACTTTTCCAAACATTAGGATTGAAAGAATTTCTATGTACTTCTTTTGAAAGTTAAGGCTAAGAGTCAAGGACAGAGTGGTGTTATCAATGTTTAAAGAAATCACTGACAGATACTTACACATAACAGGCATCAGGTTGGGTATCCAGTCCTTGTTTTGTGTGGCATGTGGTAAGCGGTACCTGCCTACGGGCGGCTCAGAATCTTGAGGGACATGTATTTACATAAGGAGGTCATTTTAATACAAGGCACATGTGATCAGAATTCAGAGGGAACTCTGCATCCAGAGGTTTTAGTATGAGAACATATCTTTGCAAGTTTCTGACACACTCCTAGAGATTCTTTTATTCACTTATCAGGCTCAATGTGAGCATGACTGCACTAGGTGGGCTCCAGGGGTGGGCTGTAAAGATGGACAGGAATGAGATATAAGACTCCAGTGCCTACAGGTAGGAAGACAGTGGACACAGGCTAGCGAAGGGCCAGTGTGTCTCTGAGTAGTGCCACCCCAGGGTGACAGCCAGGCGTACTTCCACTAGGTTCCAGGAGTTTGGATTTTTATGTCAAGCTTCCTGTTTTTTTGGAAATTAGTTGCAAGAACATATTTTTTTAAACACTGGGCATGGCATTGGGCAAAATTAAACTAGTTAGATTTAAACATTTAGATTTAAATGTTCTAAATATTTTTTATTCCCCAAACTCTTTATTTCCATCAACTGCTCCTGTAATTACTAACCACAATCATTTTGCCTCTATGTCTTGGATGGGAGTGTTACACAGGGCAACTCAATTGCGGATCTTATTTGGTGACATGTCTACCTCATTTTATAAAGAGAACAATTCTGATATTAATTAAGAGAAGGAAGTCTACCCTGAATGTATTGCCTGAGGGAACCAAATTTAAAATGTCTGTATTAGCAAGTGGCCAGCTAACAGTTCTCCTTCACAACCTTTTACTTGCTCATTCTTCCTTGCACAGACACTCAATATGTGCTATTTAAATTATTTGTTGGCTTTAAGATCTTTTAACTAAAACCAAAAGAAAAGGGAAGTGTAGAGTCACTTTTAGAAGCTGGTTTCCCATGAATTTCTGTGTTATTTCCCTTTGTGAGCACAGCGCACGGAGAAGGCTGTAGAGTCCCAGGATACCCGACAGCGAATCATCAGCCCAGGATCACACGTAGGTCCCACAGTGTCAATCTGACCCACTGCAGCCATCCTGGACTCCTGGTGGCCTTGGCTTCTGATCTTCCATTGACTGTGACCGGCAGGAAACCATGTTCAAGGACATTGCATGTGTCTGCCCAGCACCCACTGAAGTAACAACTGGCCTGAGGGCGTCCTCTTGGCGAGGCACAGGAGAGAAAGATTTAGCCGTGTGATGAAGGGAACCATCCTTCTCACTCTGCTACATGTATGTGTACCTACTGGGTGCACATACCCAGTATCTTCCCTGCAGCTCCCGAGCTAACATCAACAGTAGATGGATTTGAAGCCCTCCTCCACATACACGTGTTCTCAAGTGTAAATCTAAGTGAGGTGTAGACAAACAGAAGGCAGTGGCTGAACTTCCTTTGGGACTGAGCGACCACCCTGGTCTCACTGGAACCACATGTGGCAGTCATATCACTTCCTGCTGATGGTATCTGCATGTGGGGTGAGGAAGGGCAGTTTGCAATATGGCAGCCGCTTGGCGGTTGCAATTCTGTTGAGGACAAATATTAGTTGAACACACTCTGCTTTTATTTCTGAGTAACATCATCTCCTGCCCTGAAGAAAAAGTATGAGTGTTAAGAGTTCAGAAAAATTTCCAAGCTGTGAGAGCTGATCTGGGTGCAAGGGAAACACAAGCATGCTTGCATTAGAGAACCACAAACCTAATTTGGTAGACTTATTTTGAATTTCTCTGTGATTTGGGGCTCTCACGATACCTATTTGCAAGTGAATATGGATACTGACAGAGACCTGGGAGGAGAATGGAAGGCTGTTTACCCTAAATACATAATATGGTTTAATGAGAGTGATGGGGTCATGCCAGCAGAAATGACTCATGGTTGAACAAGACAGTTTCTCCAAGAAAGTGAGATTTACTGAAATGGGCTCTGGCTAACTACTTATTTTCTGTACTATTCAGATATCTTGCTCCCTTTGTTTAGCGACCATGAGTATTCTGTGGAAAATGCAATTATACTGACATTGCATTAACAGAGTCCCTTTAGCTCCATTATGAGGACTCAGCAGAAGATTTAATCACCAACCAGATAACTAACTGTAAGCCCAGTTTTTACTTCGGGAATGCACCTTCCCTAAGAGCAAGCTGCTCATTCTTCTGTTTACCTTGGCTTGAGTTACAGAAAATAACTGGGTTTCAAGGTCTTTGGAAGAATGAAGGTATGTGTCTATTTGCATATTCCTGAACACAATTTCAAGAGCAAATGTCTAATCTTTGGGAAAAGTGCTTACTCTGGGGGATTTGAACATCTTGTGGTTTCAGTTTTTCACATTCTGCTGGACTATGTCCTCATTAGGGTCTCAAGTTTCCTGGACACCACCCAGCTACCAGGGCTCAGAGGTGATCAGCAGCAGACTTCTACCGAATGGGATGAAGGGCCATCCCTGACCCCTCGGAGACCTCCCATTAATGAAATATTCACCAAGAAAACAGTGCCAGAATGCAAACAAATGGTATCGACCATATCCTTGCCCTGCTTCTAACCTCCTGTGATCTTTGGCTTCTGTTCAGTAACTATATTTATTTTTATTTCATTAAAAAATGTGAGAGAAGGAGTTCATTTGGGTTGAAGTTCAAAGCTTTCCAGTGCAAATATGCAGACAGGGTTGTCCTGGTGCTCCTATTGATTCGGGGCTAGAAGCCACAGTGGGTTTAAGATGTCTTCCTGCAAATGAGCTAACAGATGTCCTTCATATTTTCTCAGCAATTTACCATTTAGAACACACTATCATAGTAATTTTTCTCACCTGATCTTTTCAGTGATTGTGACTTCAATGTGTGACTTACAGATCCCATGTCACCTCATTTCCCCAGATTTGTGAGGTTAAGGATACAATGCTTCAGAGGTATCACATACTGAAATAAGCAGTTTCTTCCACTCAGAGGCATCTGCATGCTTGAGGCACCCCTGCACTGTGCCAGGTCCACATAATAAACCGGCCATTGCTCAGGCAGTGCCGCCGGTAATGCACCTGCCAGGGAAGAGTCAGCACATTCCCATTTGTGTCTCTACAAATTAAATCACGAATCCAATTTGAAAATGATAATTCACAAATTTACATCACCAGACTCTGTTAAAAACATTTTCATAATGGGAATCCCCTTCACCACATGTCTCCATTCTCTATGCCCCAAGTCCCTAAACCCCACTGTCTGCATACCATGAAGGGAGGTCTGACTCCATTACTTGGTGTGCATTTTACCCTCATCCTCAGTCTTATCTGCCAGGTCTCCATGCTGAAGGGAGCTACTCATTTTGCCTGGCAGTATGCCATTCTAAAGAAGTATAAAACCACATAAAATATATCACAAACTTCCAAAGAAAAATGAGAAAACTGAGCTTTAGAGAGACTGCCATGCACTAGGACATGACGAAATGGGGTGGGGGGGAATCAAGATTATGTGCCAGGAGTCCTCCTTTAGCCTGGGGGTCAGCAGATTGACTACTAAGTCAAGAGCAATGACTTAGCTGAGCCATCAGGCACGTTCTCTGCTAGTGTGAGCCAGGCAAGTGCTGACCACAGACCTGAGGACTGGAGATGCTGAGCCCAGCCAACTTATGTGGGAAATGGGACCCACACTGAAGAGCCAGTGTGCCTCCACGGCTGCTGAGGCACAGTGAAGGGAAGGATATATTGTAAGTTTGTGTTCTGTGCACAATGGCACCCTAGGTTCCAAAGCAGTGCCTGGCTCGGGGGTGCCTGATCACGCTTGTCTGGAGGTAGTGACTGCACGTGGGCTCCAGGGCAGCCGTCTCAGCAAAAGCTGAGACCATTTTAATCTTCAAACTTTTCTCCATTATGGAAGTTGTACTGATACACTAGATGATAATCATTCAATATTGAAGCTATTATCTTTATACTCTTCATTTTTGGACTTTTCATTATGTGATGAAAGCTGAGTTTCTAGAGGTTAACCTCAGTGATTTCTCCTCTTTCTCTCCTCTGATTATTGCCGAGAATGGCTCTGTGGGAGGGATTGTTTTAGTTTCCTTGGCTGATTTTCATCAGATGAGGGCTTTAAAAAAGTCCTTAATTGTCCAGAATGAGCATAGTATCAGCACTAATTTATGGCTTTATCCAACTGTGTCCCATATTTAGAGTGACAGACTTCTTTGAGGTTTAAGATTGTGTGAGACATAACTCTGGGGTAGCAATCTGTGGAGACTCACCCCACGGAGCCTCACAGAGGTGAACTCACTGAGCCTTCAGCCACAGAGAAGGCCCTACTGTTCCTCTCTTTCCTGATTCTTGCTGAGAATTCTTTCACTCTTCCTGCTGTAGAAGAACTTTATAGCAACTTAGACAGATGCAATAGCTGACACTTCAGGGGGGAAAAATCAACCACAATTATATGGATATGCTTGGCAAGTTGAATGAAAGAAAAAAAAAGAGCATAAATATGAAAATATGAGAGTGAGAAAGAGATGTGGACTAACCACAGATGTGGACTTCAAATTTTACAAGGAAATGTTAAGAATAAATCCACACTAACATGTTTAAAAATATCTATGAAATTAATTATTTCCCTGGGAAGGAGAAATTGCCAAGGTTACTTAAAGGAACATAATACTTTAGAATAGAATCTTAGCAGTAGAAAGAACGGTGATGGGAATGTGGCAGAAGGTGTCTGTTGTGGTAACATTAACATTTTTTAGTACTTTTCAACATTCAGATAATCTTTACATTATGTAAACTATTCCAGAGAATATAGAAATTGAAAAGTTTCCCAAATCCCTTCTCATCTAAGCATAAACTGGTATATAAATCTGAAAATATGAAAACAAAGAAAAAAGCTTTGGCCTGGCTCAGATAAAAATAACAAGGCAAAATTTCTACCTGGAATCCAGCACATGGCATTCAGCAGCATATTGAAAGACTAACATTCCATTTCTAGGTTTTCCTCAGGAATGCGTTGCTGATACATTAAAAATACATCCATGAGGAGACTACCTAAAATAAAATTGGCCAACAGGGAGATGATGCAAATTCATTTTTACTGCCATCAAGGTCGTTTGGTAAGTTTCATTCTTATGTAAATTTTATTCTTATGTAAACTGTATATACAACAGCAACAACAGTGACAAGGAATATCTAGTGAAATTCAATGGTGGACATCACTGACAATGATGAAATTTCTTGAGGCATCGCTTACTAAAATCAGGCACAGGGAATGAGTGCCTATTAGTATTTACCATCTTTCTGGAAGTCCAGCTGCTATACTGAGATATGGAGACAGAAATAAGGAATACAGCAATTTCTAAGTAAGTGAAGGTTAAAGGTGTTTGAATTAGTTGCTTTTTGGTCTCAATGGCTTTTGGGTATTATCTTCAAATCTTATACCTAGTGTTGGGCCCCAGTGCTGGGAATCTTAGACTTTCTCCATTACGGAGAAGGTGGGTAAGGAAAGCAAGTGGTGCCCATTCCTTTTTACTCTTTGTAACTTCTGAACTGTGTCCCCCAAATTCATACATTACAGTTATAACCCTCCTCAGCCCCCCACCTCAAAATCTGATTGTGTTTGGAGATAGGGCCTTTTAGGTGGTAACTAAGGTGAAATGGAGTCATTAGCATGAGCTCTAATCCCATATGACTGGTGCCCTTTGTAAGGAGAGGAGATTAGGACAGAGACAGCACACAAGCACACAGGGAGAAGGCGTCCAGCTGCCTGCCCAGGAGAGAGGTTTCAGGGGAATCCATCCTGCTGGCACCCTGACCTTGGGCTTCCAGCCTCCAGAGCTGTGAGGAAATAAATTTCTGTTGTGCAAACCACCAAGACTGCGGTCTCTGCTATGGCAGCCCAAGCACATGTCTATATCATTTTTCTCACTATATTCTCTTTCTCATTGAGGTCCAGCAACCCCAGCGCATTTGCGCAGCTCTCAGGGGTGGTGCTAAGGCTTCAAGACCTTGTCTGGTGCACAGACATCCAGTGGCCAGAGCTGGGCAGGCGTTAGGAGGTGCAGCAACCACAGGTCTGCCTGATGAATCTAATGCTATCTGCTTTCAGAACTGCTGCTAGGAACCTAGTAAACAGCATGGTGGCTGCCTGGCTGAGAGCACAGCAATGATGGGAGAAGCAGGCTTCTACTTTCCAAAGTCTAACCTCTGTGCTTCAGAATTTTCTCAAGGAGTCGTTTGTCTCTGGTGACTCACATGGCATGGCCAGTAACTGCTGCCTAGAGCGCAGCTGGTTCTGTTTCCAAAAGTCCATCTGCTTTGGTCAAACTCCAGATGCTCTCTCTATCCCGTTCCCCATCCCTGGTCCCAGGAAGTGGGCTTTGTCATTCTTCCCGGGAGCTTGCCCCTCCGTGCCTTCTTGAACAGCTCTAGCAGAGGACACGGAGGGTGCCAGACAAAAAGTATTTCCTAGCTCTGAGCACTGAAAACTCCTCCAGAAATGAGAGACAGTGTTCTAATAAGGAACAGAGGGGAGACACAAATGCCTTAGCCAAAGGGCTAGGAAATTAAAAAGAGGAAAATACCATTGTTGCCAAATCCATCTGAGCTGCAAGTTTGGAAACATGTTTCATGCAGTGCTGGTTCCCACTTTGGTGATTCAATAATTATAGTATTGTGCAACTGACGAGCTCAGAGCATGTAGAGTTAAAAAATAAATGGATTGAATCAAGAAGCTACAACCCCTGAACACATTCAACTGAACACATTCAAATGTCTTCATTTATCTTTAGAGCTCACCTCTCACCCTTTAAGAAAAACTTCAGTAATCCAGAGCAGCTCAGGGATTCACAGCCGCATCCAGCTGAGAGGGAAAATGATGATGTAGCAAGAAACACACTGACAGTGTGATGTCTTTGTACATTGTGCAGAGTAGCTTTGCCGTGAGGGCTCTGAGCCACGTGTCGGGCACCAAATATATACTCAGCCACCAATTCTTCCAGCTCTCTTCATTCAGTGAGATTTGTGTTTCCTTGTTAGCGTCTTTCCATGCGAGCGGCCCCGATCAGAGGGACCAGCAGTTCTGTGCTGCTCCTGGAAACACTGACAATAACAGCAAAAAACTACAAAAGCCAGGATGTTCTTTCCCTCATCTTTTTGCTGTGCAGACACACAAGGAGGAAAAAGGCATCCCGTCGGGGAGCTCTCAGGTCTGAATGGTGAAAGGCATGCACACATATCCCTACACCGCTAAGCCAAACCTTTGAATATTCAGAGCTGACGATTTGGGTTTTCACCCAGTGACAGCAGAGGAAGGGATGGAGGGGAA